GTCAAGGAAACTCTCAGTTGGTTTCAGAGAAAGAAACTAAAGCTGCTGGAATGGCCCAGCCAATCACCTGGTTTACAGTGTGCCATTCCACATTATTACAAACAGCTTCATTTCTGGACATTTATGGTTTGATTTCTTTGTATGTATGGATCACTTGGGTTGTTACCGACATCTGGTGAAAATTTCATGTCATTAGCACCTCTAGTAATATATTTACTGAGAAAAATGTTGACTTGTTCAATACTTATTTTACCCGCTCTGTGTGCGTGCGTGTGTGTGTGTGTGTGTATATATATATATACAGGGAAATGATTGAAATGAGGAAAAAATACATAGGTTACATTTATTTAACATAGCCTGCATAATTCACCTCCAAAAATGAGTCGGCATTATATTTTAATACAAAAGAAAATAAAAACTGAATAATTGATTATGTGCAAATGAACGTGATTTTACGGTAAGGAAGAAGCTTTTTTTCTTCTTCCCTGTTTTCTACACCCAGTGGAAACACCCATATTCTGTTCAGAGGAGGAGCCACAGGCTGCACGTTCATTGTCAGGAGGACAGGTGCAGTTCGGAAACAGCAGCTTTTTGCTACAGGTGCTGCAAAATACCTCAGAGACCGTTTTAGTTTTGAAATATTTTCATATATTTTCCCTTTTAAGTGCGACTTTGCTCCGATTTTTTTCATATATTTACCAAGCGACTGATGGAYAGGGCATCCTGCTGAGGAAGTTCCAGCGGGAGGATGTCTCCAATGAGTCTTAGAAGAAGATAACAAACATTTTAACAAACTAAACAGGTGAGTGCTTTACGTTTTATTCACAACTTTTTCTTCAAATTAAGCGTTATTGTTGTTTAGTTTAGTATGTTGCATTTTAATTTGCCTAGCAAACTTCTTTAGTCCCAAACAAGCTGCCTGTTAACTGTCTCATAAACTATTAGGCTGATTTTAATGAAACTTTCAGTAAATAATGACTGGATGTACCTATTCAAGTCATCCATTTTTTTTTGCCACCAACCCAGTTCAAAATGGCTACCACAGCCAATAAAAAAGAAGAAGAAAGAAACACAAAAATGGCAATAATGTAGTCAGTTTTACGGATAATGAACACACATTTGGTGATTGTAACTGAGAATAATTCACAATTTAAAACCTTAACTTTAACTGTTGTAAAACTGTCTGTTAGCAAAACCTCTCATGAATCACTGGAGGGATTTTAATGAAACTTTCAGAAAGTAATCATTGGAWRAATATCTACAACTCACCAATCTTTGAAGTCAAAACAATCCAATATGGCCACCATTATCAGCATACAATTCAATATGTTCACCAATGCTTTTTAGCAAACAATTCAAGATGGTCACCAAGGCTTATCAGCTTTGGCCATCTTAAAAAGGGCCACAACTTAGTCCCTTTTAGGGGTACTGAGCTAAAAGGGGATGTGGTAGTAGCTGAGAGTCATTCATAATACAATACATATTGTACTCTGAGCATGACAAGAAGTCACACAACACTCATGACTTTATAGTCAAGGTTTGACCAAAACAACTACAACTCTGTTATTTTGCAATATAAAAGGATCTAAGTTAAAGCTCTGGCATGAAAGGTGATGAGTAAAATGGATGGGGCCCAACAAATTCTCATCCATAGTGTTTATCAAAAGTTGTTATTGCTATTAACTTACAAATCTTCTCGCTCCTGGTGTCCATCTGTCCATGTCTTTAATATTCTAACCTAAAACTCTCAAGTCTAAAGAGTTACATATCTTTTTTATTGTTCTAGCCCTCTGCACWGATGGCCTTCTTCCAACAGCTTCAGCTTCTTCTCTGGAAGAATGGACTGGCAATCATCAGACAGCCGGTGGGTGACACTGAAGCACARTGAACACTTCAGTTTAGTTTAATCTTTTGTATTAAGAACCATTCTTTGCATAACTGGACCTGCATTTGAATAGAATCGAAAGAACAACTTCATTGCCTGATTTTTTTTCACATTCTCATGTATATTTGCAGTTGTGGTCCCTGACTTTGGTTGCCTGGCCTCTCATCCTCTTCATCATCATCGCTGTGACCCGGTACCAATTCCCTGCGTTTCCAACAGATACATGTGAGTGTAAAACTGATATGATATAGCATTAAATAAGGAGTGGTAGCATACAAAATACAGGTTTAACACCACACAAAAAAACAATTCAAGCCTTATAGTCTCTCTCGTGTTTCTGTCCAGTTTCACAGTCTGAGTGAACAGCTGATGAATTGAATTTGAACACTTTACAGTCCTTCAGATCTGAAACTGTTGCGTAACTGTTGACACTGCATTCGTAGACTTTTATTTTTTAAAATCCTGTGGGTGTATTGGTCCACCTACAGATGTGGGTGAAGGTTCTTCAGTAAGGAGTGCCTCATTCTTAGCATTCATTGAAATAATGCAATTGAAATAATGCCCTTTGTCTTCATTCATTTTAGTTGTTTTGGTAAAGGGACRGTCATCCACTGACGTTTAGTTGCAAATGAGCAAAGATGTATCCACCTCACAATGTTTAAGTWTTTGTAGATCACAATTGTATTGTTTAAGCAATCTCATCTGCATGTGAATGCATGAGATCTGGCTAATATWGGTAAAAACTGACGTATAACTTTACATTCCCATATTAGTAGTTGACCAACCTTCTTTTGTGTGTTAAGCCTGTTGTGAATAGGTCACATTCTGAGCAGGTATGAACCCATTTGTAACTTGATAATCCCTGTGGATTTGWTTATAAAAACTATCCACCAATTCAGAACAATGGGAGCATTTTTTTTTACATGTGCTGGAAACACTTAGAATCAGACAACACCCAAAATGGACAACCAAAGCCATTCTCAATGTCAAACATAGAGACAACAAAAAACAAACACTTTTTTTTACATTTCAGATTTTTTCTGTAACCACAATCTAAATGGTTTCGAAGTGCCTCAGAAGATTTGATAGTATCTATAAATATGTTCTTC